TCGCTAAAGTTTCGTGGGAACGAAGTTACAGAAAATCAACTAACGAACGGAGATGTAACAATATATATACCCTACACATAAAGTTAAAGAAAAGAAATATACACACGTAAAAACTATTAAACCCTTGCCCTTTTACACACACTCGCATGCAGAAAGAGCCAGTGTGCGTCAGTACACGAAAAAAATGAGTCGTATCTACAAAACAAATAAATGGTTAGATCCCTGTCTCCCACATGCACTGATGAGTGTGGAAGACAGAGGACACTTTAAATTAAAACCAAATACAAAACATACAAAATGAATTATAATAAATTAAGAAATATATGAATTGTATACTCACATCAGAAAGCAATTGAGGCTTCTTTCAAATCATCTTAATCTTTCTAGTCGAGCTTCCAGCGTTATTGTCTTTTGATTGGTGGCTATGGATACCTTGAGATCTGTTTGTGTTCTCACGACTTTCTTCTCCTTGAACAAGTTACTGGTTTTCATTGTTCCTTGATATTCATTTCTTTGGGTGTTATCTGCAGTGGTTCTGACTCCTGTTATTGGGCTGCTTGGAGGCTAGGTTCTTCCAGCTTGGATGATGTTGAGTCCAATGACCTGATGCTGGGGACTTTTCAGCAGTATCAGGGTCCTCATCAGCCATTGTGGGCAGTTCAGCTCCCAGAAACATTAATGCCAACTTGTTCACTGATTCACTAACGGTAACTATTACCCTTTCATTCTCTATCTTTATGATGGCTTCATACCCCTACCTGTAGAAGAAGTCTTGGGGTTCTTAAACAGTTTCGAGATTTCGTAAATTAATGAGGAGTACTTCTCAGTTGTAAAATGAAAGCTGGATCAATAATTTGTCAGATCAGGAACATTGATTCACAGTTGAGAAAGAGAGACTAACCACTACTGGAACTTGATCTTAAATATTAAAAGTCTGGATTCAAATTCACAAGTTAACCGAGTTCTAGTTCATCAAATGTTCACTTGAGTACATAGGTTTGGAGGGGGCTCACACTGTTCATTCACAATCATGAACTAGGTACTGATGAAATAATGCATCTACAAACTTAACATATCTTTACACCCACCATCACTTGCAGAACATGTGTCAAGAGAATCTGAAGTCTTCTCAATCTCCTGGTTTTCCGGAATATTCATTAAAACAGTTTTCCGTGGCCTTGATGTCCCCTTCGAGACAATGGGAACACACACGCCAAACTCTCTCACCTAGCGTACTAGCTGTTTGTCAAGTAGACAGTACTGAGTTTCAATAAGAATGAATGGGGTCAAAACTGCTCAGGTCCAACACAGTTAAACAGACTCACGTTAGTCAATGCTAGTACTACCTTTGAATATTAGCTCTTGCCAATGTTTCATTGTTTTCTTTAGGGATTTTATTCCATTTACAAATTGTGTAACATTTATAACTGTGCGACTGTATTAATGTGTGACTTCTATGACTATGTTACATGACACCAGCACATTAGACAGTGTCTGGAATAAACCATAAATCACCATTTGTGTAGTCCACTGTTCCTGGGCTCAATCTACAACCATTCCAAGAATGCTGATCCCATATCAGAAATTACTACTTTCATTATGTGGAAAATACATCCCAGGTTGAATGAGAGATCCACTTCTCTGATGTCTAGCTATTACCATTTTAGGGAAAAATGTCAGTATTCACTGAAGTAATAGTGATCTGACTAAGAACCACATCTCCTCTAACATCTAGTCTGTCGCCATTCACCAGATAGAATCAGTTCCAACAGGCAATAGTATTGGTTTCACCCAGTAGGCTTGAAAGATTGTGAGGTCCACTAGAATATTCACCACTTCTGTATCTACCAGGAACTTAACTTCTGGTCCTGGTGGTGGATCCAAAACCATAGTTATAATCTTATCATGTGGGAAGAGAAAGTATTTTTTAGGGGACTCTACAGTAGGACTACTAGTTTCAAGTGGTGCTGCTTTACATAACAAAACAAGCCAGTTAAAGTATGATGGTCACAGAAAGTCGTATACTTTATACTTGTTATTATTTTGTGTTCTTAAATGAATATTGGAAATAAAAAAAAAAGATCTGTTAGTGCCTTGGTTTAAAAATAGTAGGGTTAATTTTCATTAACGGGTAGACAACAAAAATCAAGAGGCGAAAGGTAAGTACTAAATTCCTTTTTTAATGTATATTTTAATTCATTGTTATAAAGTTTACAAAAAAGTAAAAAAATGATAAACTCATTGGGTTAGATAGTAATAAAAAATTCTCATTATTTAATTTCTGTAGTGCATGTTGATGTATATAAGACATATTAATACTAGAAATAAACGACCTTATGACACCCAAATGTAGTTTTTATTTAATTAGACACTCAACTCGCCCCCCAGTAGCACAGCGGTATGTCTGCGGACTTACAACGCTAGAATCCGGGTTTCGACACCCGTGGTGGGCAGAGCACAGATAGCCCATTGTGTAACTTTGTGCTTAATTACAAACCAAACAAAACAAGACACTTAAGGTTTCGCTTTACAGCTTCTTCAGGAACGTTCACTAAAACACAAGCCGAAACTGACAGTACTAAGTTTCAAAATGTCAGTTTCGGTTTGTGTTTTAGTGAACGCTCCTGAAGGTGTAAAGAGAAACGTTGAGTGTCTAATTAAATATATAAAAAAAAACATTTTTGAGTTTTAAGTCGTTTATTTCTAGTATTAAAAAATTTTCTCCACGAACCAGGCTCGCAAATAGCTCGTGCTTTACTTATTTCAATACTCTGAGTTGCCCTACTCGTTCACTGTGTGAGATACAGCTTGTATCACATGTTAGACATGGTTTGTTTGTTTGTTTTGAATTTCGCGCAAAGCTACACGAGGGATATCTGCGCTAGCCGTCCCTAATTTAGCAGTGTAAGACTAGAGGGAAGGCAACTAGTCATCACCACCCACTGCCAAGTCTTGGGCTACTCTTTTACTAACGAATAGTGGGATTGACCGTCACATTATAACGCCCCCACGGCTGAAAGGGCGAGCATGTTTGGTGGGAGGGGGATTCGAACCTGCGACCCTCAGATTGCGAGTCAAGCGCCCTAACCACCTGGCCATGCCGTGCGCGTAGACATGGTTCAAAAATCAATTAAAAAAATAAGAGTAATTAAAAACACCTGTAAACTATCTCAAGTCTTAAGTTGTTTTTGATAAGTTATGGTAAATTTTCTGTTACAATCTGTAGTCATTCTAAAAAGAAAAAGTGGTAGTTTAGATTTCTTTGTGTGTGTGAGGGGGGGGGGTTACCAGCTCGGACAAATGGACTGACCATGTATATTATTATGGTAGATAAAATAATTAATAAGATATGATGTTTTATTGGAAAAACTTTTAATATTCATTTACGAGGATGAATAAACAGCAAATGTCTACCCTTGTACTGCAATGCTTGGTCCTAATTGGATAAAACACTAAATTCCAGTACCCATGCAACACTACTTATTGGTTGAAAGTTGATTCATAAGATTCCTGCAAGCAGTACAAATGGTCACAAAACTAAAGTCAGCGAAATTTACTGGTGATAATTGAATAATAGTAAATATTTAACAAGAATAGCAGACCACATTGTCACAGTACTTCTGCATTGTCATGTGGGTTTGCGGTTGGAACTCCAGCATCCACACTTTCCATGTCCTTGGGTAACTGTACAATGTAGTGCATACATCGTATCTCGTACTATTTCCATATAACTTAAAAATTAATGATTGTAAAACAATTTCAATTTTTGGTTTTTAGACCAAACACGTGTTCTATCTATAATAATGGAGTAAAAAAAATCATAGAATGTGAAGGACAGTCAACTGCTTGGAAAATACAGATCCAGAAATCAGTGACTGTATAGTTGTTTTTCCCAATGATCAGGAAGTCTTCTTTGTCACACCGACCAACCACTGGAACTTTCTGCTATCTCTTCTTCTTCTTCATCTGACTCACTAAATACAGGGAGATAAGTACCTTCATCTTTTTCCTCTTCATCAGTTGAGCACCATAAACGTTTTATCTTCCTCAGACTCTAGCTGTGATTCCTGGCCAATGCTGAGCACAAGAAATTCATCCATAACATATGGTTTTAGCTTATCCGCATCCTGGTCGTGCTTGCAT